AATATATTATTTTAGAAAAAAAAATTCAAAACAATTTTATTTTAAAAATCTTATATATAGTTAATTAATACTCTATATAAATTTTAAAAAAATATATTAATAATAAAAATTTTAAATAATATATATAATTTTTAAAACTACTTTATATAAATAACTTGTTAATATTAAATTATATTTAAAATTAAATATAAATAGTCATAAATTAATAAAGATTAAAGATTAAATTCTTTTTAAATAATAATTAAATGTAAATAAATATATATAAAATAATAATAATTTTATATCAAATATATATTTTAATCTATTATTATTTTTAAAATAAACTGAATATATAAATTCATTTAATATTATTTTTAACTATATATATATTATAATTAATATATTTTTATTAATAAATAAAGTAGAAAAATTTAAAAATTATAAAATAATTAAAGATAATATATAAAACTATTTAAAAATATAAAATTATAAAAATATTATTTAATACTTTATATAAAATTGATTTTATAATAAAATTATATAATTTTTAAAGTTATTATTACAGCTGACTATAATGAGAGATTATATATAATTATTTTAAAAAAATTATGAATAAATTATAATTATTAAATATATAAAATTAAAAAAATAAATAAAAGATAAAAAAATAAAAATATAGTAATTTATATTTAAATATTATTATATTATAAGCTTTTATAATAATGTAAAATAGACTCTATTTAAACTTTTTAATAATATAAATCAATAAATTAAAAAGAGTAATTATATTATAATTTAATTAGAATCAAAATGATAATAAAATAAACAGCTTTAATTTATCTATATTACTAGATAACTATAATAATAATATTAAAGTAAGAATTAAAATATAAAATAAATAGATAACTAAATATATATAGATGATTGAGAATCAGATTAAATTAATCTTCAAAGCAGATACAATTAGAGATTAAATCAGATCAATATGAGCAACTAAATATAATTAAGATCAGAATAAATTAATCTTTAAAATATAGTAGAGTAAATCAATCTCAATTTATAAACAAGTAGTTATATTATAATAAATTATAATTATTTAATAATAGTATAGCAATTAATTTTATAATTATTCTGTAAATAAATATCTCATAAAATATAAAAACTACTTAGCAATTATATTAAAAAAATAAGTAATTATACTAATAAAAAATGATAAAATATTAATAGTTAATAATAAGAAATAAAAATTACTATTATATATTTATAATTAAGTTTTTATATTTAACTAATGAAGTTTAAATTCACAAAAAAGATTATAAAATAAACTTTCTTTATAAGCTTTTTTTGATCTTCAATATATAATTATAGTGATTTATATCAATTGCAATATCTTTTATAAAAATTAAAAGATTTATATTTGAACTACTCACTATTTAAAGAATATATTTAATCAAAGCAACTGATAATCATCAAATAGTAAAAATTAAAAATAATATTAAAATAATTGTAAAAAAAATTTTATAATTTAAAATAACTGTGAAAGTATTTCTATAAAAAAAAACAATTGTAAATTAATATTAGTAATATTATTACAAGTAATTGAAAATAGATTAAGAAGCAAAAAATAAATAATAAATATAAAATATTTCAATTATTAAAGTAAAGATTATATATAAAATAGATTAGACTTAAATTTCTAAAAATATAAAATTATATTGAATATTATTAAATATAAAAAAATTTATTAAGAGAAAAAGAAAAGAAAAAAAAATAAATAATAATATTTTTATGAGCTTTTATAGTAATTTATGAGCTTATACAATTATATAATTAATTATCAACTAGTTAATTAGTAATGTAATTTCATATTGAGTTAATCATCATACTAAGTCAGTTATCAAATTTCTTCATCTACTAATTTAACTGTTTATTCAATTCAATATATAATTATATCATCAAAATACAAGAAAAGCTTATCAAATTCAGTTGAGTAAGAGAGAAGAATTGAACTTACAATAAAATCTATTTAAAATAATGAAAGCTCTCAATTCATGAAGCTGCAAAGCTATTTAATGTATTTAGATCTACTCTTCAAGATCATCTCAAGCACTAGCTCTCATGAATGAATTTATATGCAAACTCTCACAAATTATCTACTGCTGAAAAGAATAGCCTAGTTGAATAAGTGTTGAATCAAGCTAAATAAGAATTCTCCTCCTAGCTAGCATTTGTTAAAGATATTTATTAATTATCTTCTTATATTATGAAATTTTACTGTCTTCACTACTCCCCCTCCTCAAATCAGCAAGAATTGAATTTCAAAACTGATTAAATATTATATATAGCTTTGAAGCTACTATTTTAGATATTATAATTATGACTAGATTAAGTATGAAGATCAGCAAGTTATAAAGAATTGATTTAAGATCTTAAAAGATACAATTGCTGAGTATGAGATTGTGTCAGAGAATATATATAACTTTGATAAAACTAGCTTTGCTATAGAGTTTTGTACCACTACTAAGGTCATTACTAGTAGTGAGTACTATGACAAAGCAAAGCTCTTACAGCCTGAAAACCATGAATGAATGACTATAATTAAATCAGTCAATGTGTCAGAATGAGCTCTACCTCTTTATCTCATTCTCAAAGGCCAGGGCTTGTTGAAAGGTTGGTTTGAAGGCCTTTCAGAAGGTTGAAGGCTACATGTTAGTCTAAATAGCTGGACTACTGATGAAATAGACCTGAGATAACTTTAATAAGTATTTATTCTAGTAGCAGATTCTCACAGAGTTGATAAATCTATTCTTCTTATTCTGAATAAGTATGATAGTCATATTATCTCAGAATTAGATCAAATCTACAAGAATTATACTACAATATATCTTTATATACTATCTTATTCCTCTTACCTTCTGCAGTCACTAGATGTAAGTTTTTTTTCAGTTTTAAAGTAAATGTATAGAGATCTAGTTCAGCAGTGAATGCAGTTTCGATTTAATATCATTCAGAAGACAGATTTTCTAAATGCCTACTCTGCATTATATGCTACAGCCTTCAAACCTCAAACTATTCAAAATGACTTTAAGACAACTGAAATAATATTCTTTCAGCTTAACTATATTCTCCAGCAGTTAAATATTCAACTATAGATTTTTACCCTATTATACAGTAACTCTACTAATTCAACTATGTCCTGGATGCTTCAAACACCTAGTAATCTCCAGCAATTACACTGGCAGGTAAATAAAATCAAGGGCTTAGTGAAGAATCAGTTTCAAGGCTTTGTGAAAGATTTTAATCAAATTATCATAGCCTATGAATATGAGATAGTCAGTACCATAATTATAAAGAAGTAATATCAGAATATATTCAATATCAATGAGATAGAGAAGCAAAAGTGCAAGAGATCTAGGCATCAAATTGAGTAGGAAGTAGAAGATTTAACTAGTGAAGAAGTTCAAAGTCTTCTAGTAGACTCTATAGAGCTTGCAGAGCCTGTTGAATAGTTAGTTATTTAACTTCTCAAGCTTTCAGCTACTGAGTCCACAGCACATATATAAGTGTCATAAAGATGCAGTAATTGTAAAATGCTTCAGTATACAAGACTAAGATATTCTCAACTAAGTGTAATTTAATTTAATTTAATTGAGCTTTATTACATTGAGATAATTTAAATTAAAAACTACTTAGTTGGGATACAGTGAATTTGCTGACTGACTTAGTGTGATGACTGACTCAGTGTGAAATTATATTAGTTAGTTAGCTGCGTGCTTATATAATAAACTATAATAGACTCTGATAATATAAAGAGAAATTTAATAGAAACTAAAGTATAATTTTTTATATTATTCTTCTTTATATAGAGTATAAGAATATATTAGTCTATTTATATATAATGAGAATGTAAAGGGTTAAGCTCTAAGAACTAGAGGCTAGTCCTCCTATATAACAAGGACGAATTGCTTGAGAAAGGGAAGAAAAGAATGAGATGAGAACTTGAGCTTAAGCAAGCTCACATAGCATGATCATGTGTGCATGTGCAAATGATGGCTAGGCTGAGTCAGTCAGCCAGAGCAAATCTAGAGGTTCAACTCCTTATAATACCCCTCTCTGTTAGGCTCAGCGTCCGACCGAAGGCCGGTGCCCGGTTAGACTCGACGTCGGATTAAGCGGGGCGCCCGATTAGGCCTAACCCACATCACGTGACCATGCGACCATGCGGGTTGCTCGATTAGGCCTAACCCATATCACGTGACCACATGACCATGCAGGTGGTTATAATCCACACAGGCCCCCAGCACCCTCTTTTCATCCCATCAAGCTTAGTATTTTGTTATATAGCAGTTAGCAACACAGAGAGTCTTTCTTCTTATGCAGCTTGCATTCACTCTCTAACACAATACTAAGCTTCTCTTCTACCTTCTCACTCAGGTTTCAGCAGAGAACTTGAGTGCCTCAGTTGAATTAGAATCTGCTAGTTCAGAGTCTGACAACATGTCAGATCAACTGCTAAGACAACAGCACTGTTGAAGACAACAGCTCAATCCAACATCAGATGATCACCACAGGCTCCCAACCCCCTGGAAGGGGCTGAAAGGACTGGTGATATCTTCTAACAAGATCAACTGATCAATCATACATCTCAATTGAGGAATTCAGAGAGACAATTCACTCAGACAGCAACTGTGTTTATAATGAGTTGATGACAATCTTCAATGGCATCTTTGATGATGAAAAAACATTAAGAGATACAGTCACACATCTGAGAATGGAATGGGACAATGCTACTAATCAGGTCACTGTCAAGCAAAGCCAGATTGATGAGCTAATTGCTGAATGTGATGAACTTAGCCACACTCTGATTCACATGACAGTCAGCAATCAAGCAGCAAGTTGAGGTGTCATTTCCTCTGAGACTGCCAGGAGATCTGTCAAGATTGATGATCTGAAACATCTCACTGACAGCAAGGAGCTGAAATTTGAACACTGGCTCTTTCAGATGAAGAACAAGCTCTGAGAGAATGCTGACCACTATTCTACTGAATACATGAGAATAGTGTACATTGAAAACTGGACTGATGAGGATGCAGCATGTCACATTGCATTCTGTATGAAAGAGAACCACTCTGAGCAATATCAAACTGCAGAAGAGATGTTTGAGCACCTCAAGTCAATATATGAGAATGCTAACAAGCTGTAAAATGTCAAAGGTGATTATCACAAGCTGATTATGCATAATGAGGATAATTATCATGAATTTGTCACAAAATTTTTACATCTGGCAGAGGAGGTCAAGATTGCCAGAGGGGACTACAAGACAGACTTCAATGACAAGCTGTTCTTTGATCTTCAGAAGATGATAGCAGTAGTCAATGTGATCACTGATACATATGCTGAGTTTCAGAAAATCTGTGTGCAGGCAGCTCACACCCTTCAGACAATCAATGTCACTCAGAAATCAAAGAGCTCACAGAGAAATGAGTATAATATCTTCAAGCAGAACATTCTGCAGATCATCAACAGTCAAATATCTTCTAGCATCTCTGCAACAAAATCCTCTACTGTGAAGAAGGCCTTGAGCTCTCATTCAGATATTCAGTGCTACTACTGTAAGAAAAAAGATCACATTGCCAGGAACTGCTCTACAAAGCAGAAGTCCCAGCAGATGATTGCTGAGCTCACAGAAAATGATGTCTCTGAGTCTTCAGCAGACTCAGAAAAAGAGTGAGTCTGAGAGAAGACTTCACCTCAGATAGTTCAATAGTCTGTGAGAGATTTGAGATGAAGGACTTGATTGAGAGGAAAAGCTTTAATGTATCAATCAAATTAGCCTACAATGAAATTGCTACTTCTACAAATTCTCTTGCTGATACTGAAGCAAATGAAGTGAATTTTATTGATATCTGATATGCCATAGAACTGGCAAGATTCTTTGATAGGAAGTTTCAAGAACTCTCATTCAAATGCTGCATGAAAGGATACAATGACACCTTCAGTGGGGTGATAGATCACACATTGACTCTAAACCTCTGGGTGAATGACTGGAGATTTCAGAATGTCCCTCTGCTGATAACAGACCTAGGCCAGCACTCTGTCATCCTGGGACAGAAGTGGTTGGCAGCACAGAATATATGACTTGATGTTAAAAATCAACACCTGGTTTGACTGAGTGAATGGTCTATCCCTGAACAGGTGGCAGAGCTGATGTTGAAGATAGTACCCTGATCAGTACTGAAGTGTCCAGACCTCAAGTCTAAGCATCAGGCAGATGTGGAATGAAGAGAGATCAAGCTGAATGAGGAGATCAGACAGGAGCATCAGACTCAGCTCCACAGATTGAGAGGGACCAGCTCAGTTGTGATGCCTGAGATGAGGCAGAGGCTGACCTGGGAGAAGACAGCATCACAGATGATGGATATGAACTTCATTGAGACTGCTTCCTTTCATGATTATATGAAGAACAAGAAGTCAACAGTCTTCATAATCAGTCTGTATGAAATTGATAAACAGCTTGAGAAGAAGTGGGGTTTAGTGAGAGCTGAGGATGAGTCTGATGAGAAGCTGATCAGCAACTTATCAGAATGATTGAAAGACTGAGAGGACTGCTTCTCAAAGAAAGCATCAGATGAACTGCCCCCCCTATGAAAGAATGTTGATTTTAAAATAGAGCTCCAGCCTGATGTTGACCTCACCCAGGGCATTGGACATGCGCCTCTATATAAGATGAATCTAGAGGAACTAGAGGCAGTGAAGACCTATCTTGAAGTCAACCTAGCAAAGAGTTTCATCATCTCAAGTTCAGTCCCCTACACCTCCTCAATTCTGATTGCCTGTAGTGGGAAGAAGCTATGATTCTGTGTTGACTTTCACAAGCTGAATGCTATAATCAAATGAGATCAGTATTCCTTGCCTCTGATAGATGAGCTGATGGACTGACTCAATGGAGTGAAATACTTTACAAAGTTGGACATTCAGCAGGGGTTCCATTGCATCTGAATGGACCCTGAGTCTGAGGACCTGACCATCTTTAGAACCTGCTACAGGACCTATAAATATCAGGTGGTCCCCTTTGGCCTTACAAATGCCCCTGCCTGCTTTCAATGATTTGTTAACAGTATCTTCTTTGACTACCTGGACAAGTTTATGACAGCATTCATGGATGATCTTCTAATCTATAGCAAGAATCTGAAGGAGCACAAGCAGCAGGTAAACTCAGTGCTAGACTGACTAAAGACAGCAGGTTTGCAAGTCAGCATTCAGAAATGTGAGTTTGCAGTCCAGAGGACAAAATATCTAAAGTTCATCATCAGTACAGAAGGAATTGAGGCAGACCCAGAGAAGACAGCTGCCATTGTGAGATGGCAGATCCTCATCACAGTCAAAGAAGTTCAGTCATTTCTAGGATTTGGCAATTTCTACTGATGATTCATAAGGAACTACAGCTGAATCACAAAGCCACTGTATCAATTGACAAAGAAGACTATCTCATTTGTGTGAACATCAGAATGCAAATCAGTCTTTGAAAAACTGAAGAGACAGCTGGTGAAGACTCCAACACTGCATTACTATGACTCTGAGTGAAAGACTTGTATTGAGACTGATGTCTCTGACAGAGTAGTGGCTGAGGTACTAAGTCAAAGATTTGAAAATGACCTTTGGCACTCAGTAGTCTTCTATTCAAAGACAATGAACAGTGCAGAGCTTAATTATGAAGTTCATGATAAGAAAATGCTGGCAGTAGTCTGAGTCTTACAAGAATGATGAGCAGAGCTTGAGAGACTACAATGAGAGAAACAATTCAAGATTCTCACTGATCATCACACACTGGAATACTTCATGACTATCAAGAAGCTGAATGTATGTCAAGCTCACTGGGCAGAGTTTCTCTCCTGTTTCTACTTTGAGATCAAGTATCAATCAGGCAAGGTCAACCTGCTAGCAGATGCACTGAGCAGGCTTGAGCAGGTTAGAAGGCAACAGAACAGTCATATGCAGATTCTTCTAGAATCAGAGATTCTCAACCCCCAGATCACTCTCTTTACAGACATTGCTAGCATCAACTCCTCAGAGAAAGAGAGCATTGCTGAATGCATAGTGTCTCTAAACAAGACAGCCATCTCAATTGAGCTCCTGTGGCAGCAGGCAGATAATGAGAATAGTCTCTATACAATGAAGGACAATGTGCTACAGTACAATGAAAGACTAGTAATGTCTGTTCAGAAAAAGAAAACTCTGATAGTCAAGCTACTGCAGAAAATTCATGATCAAGCTTCAACAGCACACTCTGAAGAATGAAAGACCCTGATCCTGGTGCAATCATGCTATTAATGAGTCATCTGGCAGACAGATGTTCTACACTATATTCAGAACTGTCATGTGTGCCAGATCAGTAAAATTTCAAGAGATAAGACTTCTGATTTGCTAAAGCCATTATCAATACCAGAACAGGCATGGCAGTATATTGCAATGGACTTCATGGACATGCTGAAAAGCAAAACAGGTTATGATGTCATTTTGATCATAGTATGCTGGCTAAGCAAGAAGATAATCTTCATTTCAATCACTCAGGGAGTTACAGCCCAGGAGCTGACCCAACTATTCATTCAATTCTACTATTCATACAATGAGGTACCTGACTCAATTGTCTCTGACTGAGGCCCTCAGTTCATATTAAGCTTTTGGGATGAGTTTACACAGATTCTGGACATAAAACTGAAACTCTCAATGACACATCATGCACAAACTGATGAACAGACAGAAGTGATGAATCAATACATTGCCACCTGTCTTCACCTCTATGTCAGTTACTATCAAGATGACTGAGATGAGTGACTGCTCATTATAAATCATGCCTCCACAGCTATCTCAAATGCTTTCACAGGGATCTCCTTCTTCCTCACAGCAAATGAATATGAACTCTGAATGTCATTTGACTGGCAATCACTGGCAGAGAAATTGAACATGAATGAGAAAAGAAATTGAGAAGCAGCAAGGAGCTTCATTCATCAAATGAGAGAGATCTGAAATCAGGTAAGTAAAGGCATAAAGACAGCACAGGAACAGATGAAGAGGCAGACTGACAAGCATCATTGAGAGCCTGACTTTGCAGTAGGAGATTTTGTTTATCTAACATTGAAATCATACAAGATGGATTGATCAAGCTGTAAACTGACAGAGCAGAATGCCAGTCCCTTCAGAATCCTGAAAAAGGTGAACAATGCCTACAAACTGGACCTCCTCATAACAATGAAGATTCATTCAATCTTCTCCTCAGACAAGCTATGCAAGGACTTCAGAGATTCTCTACCTGGCCAGACTATCAGACCACCAGACTCAATTGAAATAGATGGTGAGAATGAATGAGAAATAGATTGTATACTGACCAGTAGAATAAGCTGGAGCAAGCTGCAGTACCAGATGTGCTGGAAGGAGTTTGATGAGAATTCTTCATGATACCCCACTCACAACTTCAAAGGATCACCACACGCCATATGCGACTTCCATGAGGCTAACCCTACAAAAGCTGAGCCCCCAAGGCGACTAGATGAGTGGCTGAAGGCATGGGAGACAGACAGCTACCTGAAGGATGAGGTTGATGATGACCTACCGGCATGAGGACATGCCTGCCCCTAGACTGGGGGGTGATGTTAGGCTCAGCGTCCGACCAAAGGCCGGTGCCCAGTTAGACTCGACGTCAGATTAAGCGGGGCGCCCGATTAGGCCTAACCCACATCACATGACCATGCAACCATGCGGGTTGCTCAATTAGGCCTAACCCATATCACATGACCACATGATCATGCAGGTGATTATAATCCACACAGGCCCCCAGCACCCCCTTTTCATCCCATCAAGCTTAGTATTTCATTATATAGCAGTTAGCAACGCAGAGAGTCTTTCTTCTTATGCAGCTCGCATTCGCTCCCTAACACTCTTCTCCCTCTTTGTTGCAGGCCTTTACAACTATTTAAAGCTCTCTTTACATTTAATTTTGCCTGCTGAGAGGCCTCTCAAGTGTTCAAGACCTTCACTTCTTGTAGAAGACTTGCATTATTCCATGTAGACTCAGCCTAACCTACCCATTTAATGAGGTATTGCTTTTTCCTCTGGTAGGTTTGTTCACTCTGAATTTCCTCAATCTCAAACTCAGATCCTTCTAGAGTCTTTATAGTGAATGACTGCCAGTCAGTTTGCCTCTGACTAGATAGAAGATCTGTCATCACAGCATGTAGAAGCTTTACATTAAAGACATTGTAAATATCAGATGAGATACTTAGTCAGTAAGCATGGAATTCTATCTTTTCTAGCACAGTATATTGATTGTATTTCACATTCAGCTTCTTGCACAGGTGATTAATTCTCATGTTCTCTAAACTCAATCAGATCTTATCTTCAGGTTGAAAGCTTGAAACTGAGTCTCTTCATCTATTCATGTATTTCTCTTGAGATTACTGAGCATTCATCATTTTTACTTGAGCTCACTTCAACACTTCACAGACCTTCCTCATATAATCATCTGCAAACTCAATGAGATTATATAGTATTTCAACAGAGAGTGTATCAGCTATATCAATGAAGAAGATGTGGAAAAGATACATTAAAAAGAATGAGCTCACACCTGTTGAGGCAGCATCTCTATTATTGATGGCCAGCTCTGCTAGAGGGAGTCATTCATGCCAGTCATTCTGTTGAAAGCTAATGTACTTGCATAGATAGATTTTCAGAATCTGATTCATTCACTCTGTAGCTTCATCAGTCTTTGAGTGATAGACTGTGAAGAGTCATCTCTTAATGTCTAGTTTCTCATATATCTGAGTTCAAAACATGCTTGTGAAAGCTGACTCTTGATCTGACACTACTGTCTTAGAGATGCTATATTGAGAGATGATGTTGTGAAGAAACACTCTAGTCACTGTCTTCACATCAGTTTTCTTAACTACTTTTAATATAACTCTTTTGATCAGTCTGTCCATTATAATCATGATGTTCATATATCCTTTAGAGCTCAGTAAGTTCATGATAAAGTCCATGAAAAGCTTCTGCTACATGTGTTCAGAAATAAGAAGAGGCTTAAATAGTCCTTGATGTTGATCTTTTCATGTGGTATTTGATCTGCAAAGATGGTAGTTTCTGAT